TAGCAATGGCCGAAAAGGAGGAGGAAACAAAGAAGCAGGAGGAAGAATCGCCGATGTCTGAGGACTAGCAAGTAGTAGTAAAATTGTATTAGATATGTGGTAAATTATCCTATTTCAAAGAGAGGGTGACCTTTAATCATTTGGAATTGGACTGTTCCAACAACTGCATTTTTTGATGTTTGTCTCTCGAATATTTGAACCTGTCGTCCAAAATAATAAAAAGCACTTCAATCAACAATTAAAAGTTTCATGGTGAAGCCGAGCACGTTACTTATACTCGTGGTTTTCTTTGGAGTCTGTGTTGCATCTCGCTTGAAGCTGCCCTTCCCCCATTGGAGAACATCATCCCCCTGACATTTTCTGAGTACGTTTGAGTTATAACTCACACGTTTGAGTTATAACTCAGACGTACTCACACGTTTGAGTTATAACTCAACGCCGTAAGTTATAACTCAGGATTCCGTTGTGATCTGAGTTATAACTCAGAAAAAGTCACAATGACCAATCGGTCATCTGTGTCCATAAGTCCCTATTTGATAAATCATCACATAATAATATGTCATTAATAGTTAAAGGGAAATAATATAGATTTTTTGAAGCTAAAAATATAATTTTATATCTCCGGGCACGAGCACGTCAAACTTTGCGATCAGTGTCCCGAAAATACTCGGTCTGAACATTTGCCGGGTGTTCCTGTGAAAATGATACTGTTTAAAAACTGAAATATATTTAAGGCAGGGATCGCCCATCAGAATTCCCACTGGCCCATCACGTAAAAAACGTAGTAGCGCGCCTGTCAGGACATTCCTTTGCGAGCTGGTCAAGCCTCCTTCAAATCGAACGGGTCGTGTTGGACACATGGTGGTGCCACCCGCAATGATCGGTGTATCCACGAACACTCCAACATTTAACCGCGAATTGAAAAATTCGCTGCTATTTAACCGCGAATTGAGAAATTCGCGGCAATTTAACCGCGAATTGCCTTCATTCGCCGTTGTGATAACCGCGAATTGAAAATGCGCCGTTGCGTTAACCGCAAATTGATATATTCTAAAAATTCAGCAACAAAACCAAACAAATCCATCAATGGTGTTTGTGGAGCCTGAGACGCCCTGGAAGACCAGCAGGGCGAAACAAATCATCCAGGAACTACTGGGGATCTGTCGCGCGATAGAGAAGCCTTAGGTGATGAAGGAAACAAGTAGACGATGAAGGGAACAACATGATTCTAAAAGTCAACTTGAAAGTGATTTGCGAAATGGGCGAGGAGTCTACCAGGTACGAAGGGAGATCGGAAAAGTGGGATCCCAAGAAGCTTGCTACCAGGCTCAGAAGTTACAAAAGGCGAACAATATCTTGGAGCATAAGATGGGACGAAAAATCAGCAGGGCAAAATTCTATGGGATCTCTTGCGCACCGCTCCTGGAGTCGCCCATTCCACTCGATGGGGGAACAAAAGAAGGTGTGTGACATGAGCGGCGAAAAAAATAGGAAGTCGAACAATGTGGTTCCATATATTTTGCTGATAGACTGAGAGCGCTGCAGAAGCAAGAAAACCAGAAGATCAGCAGAGTCGTCGAGGACCACTAGGCTCATGTCAAACAGTTCGTCGACAACCATCCAATAACATCCTTTCAAAGCTACTACAAAAAAATATCCATTGACAACGATCGGATGCCCCGAAGCTTCTGCGTCAAGCCATGGACGAGAATGGAAAAGATAAGCCTCCTGTAAGATAAGAAGATCTATGCCGTTCTTAACGAAAACAGTATTGCAAGGAGTTTTCTTTGAATGTTTTCAGGGAATGCAACTACCAGGAGATTAGAACAGGAAAGTACTTGCACGCTCTCAAAGTCAAGGGGAAGAATCATAGATCTATAACGTAGTAATGATGCTATAGAAGATTATTTACTACACTTGCATTTTCACTATTGGAACAGCTGCTTTTCCTCTCTCTAGAGGCTCTCAAGAGGACAGCTTTCCCAATCCAAACATAGGGAGAAACCCAGTGATTGAGGAACAAACCATTCTATTGCATGGTATCGTTGTATTGAAGAAGAAATGAGAGTGATTCTACATCACGCAATTCGCGGTTGAATTAACCGCGAATTTAGAATTCGCTACTAAATAACCGCGAATTGAAAAATTCGCTGTTAAATTTACCGCGATTTTTGAATTCGCTGTTAAATTTACCGCGAATTTTTCAACTCGCGGTTAATTAACCGCGAATTATAGTTGAAAGAACTTCTACATCCGTAACGCCCGCTTCGCGCGGGCGGTTCGGTTTCATGATCTGGTTGCCTCCGTGAGACATACTGGCTGGCGATCGAAGAAGTATTCGGCTGGCGCGTACTGACATTTTTATGTGATGGGCCAGTCGACCCCGCGCGGTACGGATTTTCGTCATTTGCCGGGTGTTCCTGTTCTTCGATCTTTAGTTATTCCAAGCGGAAATGTGCCGTCATCGTAGGGGTACACGTGTACCGGTAGTATGAAAACTACGACGATTTTCAAATATTCATCACCTATTTTATGGAATACCTGGCAGCTTATACGATACCTGCCCAATGTTCAATGCTGCGTATGTATAATCCCTAATATCAAGACTCACTTCAGAACATTTTTCTGCATCATTATCCCTTTCTACCATGTTAGAGTCCATCCAGAGTCTTAGCTCTGATGAGTTTCGATCTTTTGCTATCGTGTGGCAGACAATTCGCACACGAAGGGACTATGTCATGGCTCTAATTGCATTTGCTACTTTGAACGCGGCGTGTTGGATATCCATGGAACACTTTGTTTTTCTAACAAAAATGAATACAAATGGAAGTAATTATATTGGTAACCAGTCTGATAAAGCAAGCAAATCAAAAGAATACAGTCGTTCCTACAAGCGTCTGAGAAGTTTTCCTGGTACGACAAGGCCAATGAAGGAGACGCCCATGTCCTACCTAAACAAGTGGGAGGACCTCTGGACCTCCCAGCATATTCCGACTGATGATCACTCGATGAAAAGCGAGAAAGTTGCAGGGAATGAGATGGAGAGCCGACTACACACTTTAACCAATGCTCTGAGCTCTAATGCATCGACAGGAGTCGACAATCTGAATCTCATGTTTGAAAAATTTCCGTATCCGCGACACCAAAACTCGATATCAATTTATAATGAAGAGACCCATTCTAGATTGATTGCCAAATTAATTCAAGCACGGGAAGAAGACAGAACCTTCAAAGTTGTTGCTAACGGCGGTTCGACAACTGCTGGTGGTGGATCAACACCAATATATAGGAACGAGCGGTACTATGCAAGGCTTGGAAACTACGTGAATGTTCTTCTTTCAAATATAAGAGCTGATGGTTGCAACCAAACAGTGCAGGTGATAGGCCAAGGGCATGGTACACGGAATTCGCTGCATAGTGCGGTACTTTTTGACAGCTTCATTCCTTCCGATGCCGACTTAATACTATGGGAATTCTCTATAAACGATGCGGCTGAACTGGAGGAAGATTTGATCATGCAAAATGCAAAGCTCAACTTTCTTCCTTGGATTCATGAGGTTGGTAACATGAAGCAGCCGCCGGTTGTCATTCTGATATACTACTGGGACACGCCATATCATCACGATAAGACAACGATGGCAATTGTAGGTCGAGCATTCCAGTCACATGGTGACATTGCAAGACAATTTGATTTCGTTGCCGGGCATATCAACATGGCGACATATGTTGACGAGCTGGGGCTATCATCATGCTGGAATTTTAGTGAATGCCCCTTCCTAAACGATGTTCATCACGCCAGCGATCTGGGGCATCTAGCTACTGCGTTTTTACTCTTAGTCCTCTTGAGTCCAAGAGGAAGCTTGATTCCCGAAAAGCCGACGATGTACCTAGCTGATACCGAATACGAATGGAGTTGTGGAGTCGAGACAGTGGCAAAACGAGATTTGAAGCAAGTGATAACCGACTCAGCATCAGGTTGGAAATCTCCAGCAGGTGCTTGGACACTAGATCTTCCAGCGCTAAACCCGCTTACTCCACGTCAGCTGGTGTCTGGTTCAGGGGTCAAGCAGATTGAGAATTTTGGAAGAAAACGTCTAGTTCGGCAAGATCGACAACGATGCACACCGTTGGGCTTTTGCGGTGGGGACGCAGTGAATTCGTTTTCCGTTGAAGCGCCATTTACGCCAATGGAAGATGTCCGAGTTATGCTTTTGGCCTTTCAATTCAAAGGGCCCTTACTCGAATCGACTGGCATCAATGTGAAATTGAATGGCTCAAATATGACTGCGGATGGCAGGCTCATTCCTATGCGCGTGGAGAAAGAGCCATCTATCGTCAAGAAATGGCCCTGTCACCTTTCCAACGCCAATACCTGGGGGACAAGAACGGATGTTTACTGGTTCCTCTTTGACACGGTGCAACCAAGTGTTCTCTCTATTGAACTTTGCCAGCCACCCGGTGTGAAACAAATTGCAAAGATAGAGTCAATTGTGATCTGGTGAGACGTTTCCAAGCGAGCTGACTACAATTCGGATCAATGTGGTGTATAGTGTGTTGTCTGAACGGATATTGAATCAATCATCCAATGATTCAATCGTTTTCTTCAGTGCTGCAAGCGCGGGTTAGAGGATGATCGCCAAAATATTTGCTATTTTGCACTGAGTATTGTCTTCAGGGATTGAAACGAGTGCTTGTCAAGATGGAACACAAATTGCAAAGATACAGTCAAGTGTGATCTGGTGTGACGTTTCCAAGCGAGTTGACTACAATTTGGATCGATGTGGTGTATGGTGTGTTGTCTGAATGGATATTGAATCAATCATCCAATGATTCAATCGTTTTTTTTCAGTGCTGCCAGCGCGGGTTAGAGGATTGACAGGCCAAAACAATTGCTATTTTTAGCTGAGTATTGCGTTCAGGGATTGAAACGTGTGCTTGTCACGATGGAACACTGCACCTTGACTTTCTTCGACTATATTGTGACAAGAGACATCGTGATTTTATTTCTTACAAGTTGCATTGGGATGATGGTCAGTCACTTTTCGTATCACCTTCCAAAGGTTGGGCTGGGCTTGACAAGTGACGAGATTGGTTCCAATGCCAAAGGCTGTGATACCATGTCCACGTTCAGCCAATTGATACAAGGTTTCCTCATTGATATCATTGCTTGCGACAATTGTCAAGTTTCCAAAGACCTGACGACTCGTTGACTCCTTTACTTCTTCAAAAACAGACTTGCATTTCAAACTAAGAGCACTCAAATCGCCCGAATCCAGTCGAATCCCTTTGGGTTGATATCCAAAATCATCCAAGGCCTTGGCCGTGGCAATAAAGTTGGGAAGTCCACTTTGCAAGGTGTCATAAGTATCGACCAAACACAAACAAGTATCCGGGAAGGCACAGGCATATGCCACAAAAGCAGCGAGTTCTCCGTCATTCGTTCCCTCCTTGCGATAGCCCAACACTTTTGGCAAGAAGGCCTCCGTCGCTTGTGTCTTTTTGTTTAGCAACTGCAAATTTTGGACGTCGTCCAAAGAGGAAAATGCTTGGACATAGGCATGCGCATGGGTTCCCGAAATGGGGATTCCAAATAGCTTTCCTGCACTTGTCAGTAACTCATAGAGTGTCTAGATGAACGTGATGAATGATGTGATGTATGAGGACATACGGACAGACGATCTAGTAAGTCGTAAGACGACTAACTCGATCCTGACCTCCTCTTCGTCTGTAGCTTATGGACGAAGACATCACCCG